TCTTTGTTTTGGGGGAGACAAAACATTATACAGCAGCAAAAGATTTTTTTATCACTTTAATTTTATTTGTTGACAGAGTTCCCTTAGCAACTTTAAGGTCGCAGTTTTTAGCTGCAAACAAACTGCAAATGAGCACTTGATGTCTTATGTACTCATATTGCATACATTAATATGTAGGTTGAAATGTGATTCAGATGGGCCACTTGACAAAGCACCATCTTACAGATCAGCTGTTGATTGGGATTCACAAGTTAGAGGTGAGGACCACGATCAGGACATATGCCCACCGTAACCAAAATGCAACCTTTATTGCCGTGCAAATTGTGGATGAGTCCAATGCTTCTAAACCTGCACTTCAGAAAAAATACTGGACTGACACATTCAGCCAGGAGCTCCTACAGGAAGTATGAGCACAGGTAAATGTCTGGAGAAATATTGCAAGATTCTGCCATTTGCTCCATCTGAGTCAAAAGCCAATTTAAATAAACATACCCTACTTCTGAGGTCCAAGTAGCAGGTAGTGGAACAAGGGACATGATTTGTTGGCACGTGAAAGTTGAAGGTTAATGGGGTTAAGCTGATTGGGCTAACAGATGTTTTTAACAGAGTGTTTTTGACCACAATAATCTATCAAACTCCTTATCTTATAATAAAGACCCAAGTAAACTGACTCTTAAAGCTGCAAATGGATTATCTATTCCATATAAAGCATATACAGTGATGGACTTTGAAGTAAATGGTGTGATCATCCCAGGGTGTGGTATTGTAATAGTAGAATACATTGCCTTTCGGCTCCCCTGCTTATTGGTATGGATGATATTAAAACCTTTGGTAACCCAGAGACATGGCTTGAAGCAGTAAAATTTGCAGTGTGTTAACGAGCAGCTGCTATCAAGAGCGAGGATGGATGCATCTGTTTTTTTATGTTGAGCAAGTCGTACAGGCCTTACCATTCCCAGCCAGCAGTGAGAAGGTAGTCTGGACCCTCATGGGCATAATAACTGTGGCCTAATCACATTACCTGACCATGAGGTGCTCTGTGTGGCAAGAACGTTTCCTTTTGTGAAACACGGCAGTGTCCAATCAGGATTCAGAAATTGTCCCCTTGTCTTCATAGGTTAGCAAACCGACCTGACCTCAGCCTGACCAGGCAGGATGATGAAACAGTTGAGATAGATATTGTTGGCTGGAGAAGAAGAGACATTTTTTGCTGAAGTACTGGGGAACTTGCCAGGGTAGGAGGATTTGACTGAGCAGGGAAACATGGTCTTAAAGCCCTTGTCAAAACTCTGGGTAAGGGTGTTTGCAATTCATAAGGATGATTTAGGATACACAGAATTGGTGAAACATCAAATTCACCCTGGGGATGCATTCCCCGGTTAGGGAGCGACTTTACCCTATACCACCTATGATCTTTATGGAAATAAGAGTCCTGCTAGAAGATATGCTGGAGAAGAAGGTAATCCTGCAGAGTTCCAGTCCCTGGACTGCACCCATAATAAAGGCTCAGAAGGATGGCAATTGTCATTTTTGTGTGGATTATAATTCTTTCACACTGAAGGATGCTTTCCCCTCCCTTGAATCGAGGAGACCTTGACCTCTCTAACCTATCTAATTCACCACACCACATTTTGATTCACCACACTTAAAATTGCCAGTGGCTACAGGCAAGTGAGGGTTGAACCCTGAGATATACCTAGACTACCTTTAGAGCTCAACTAGAACGGGACAAGTTCTAGAGAAAGCCATTTGGACTTTGTAATGTACCAGATACTTTCCGATTGGCTTCCTAGGACCATTAAAGAGGTAATTGCTTTCCTTGGCTTGCCAGGATATTATCAGTTTCATTCCCAACTTTGCAAGAGTAGTGTGTTGTGTGTACTAACAGCTTCCCTTTTGTTGTTATTAGTAAAGAGGTGCGTTTTGTTTCCTTTTTTACCGAGACTATCTGGGATTCCTGATAACCAACAAACCGGATTTAATGCATTTGACTTAACATGGGTTGTAATACTGTGAGTGGTCCTACAGTGTTTAACCTTTTTAAACAGTAGGTTTCTCAGTTCTCTGGATGGTGTTGTTGAGTCAGTTAATCCCTTTTCATAACATATTATTCCACAATTTGTTTCATTTTTTATTTTAAATTATAGGGAACCAAATGTATTTATGTCACCTGCATGTTTGTCTGTGTGTAGTCCCTCAGCACCAAATCATTTTCCTTTTACATCTAAAACACTACTTGGCAACAATGGGTTGGTGTTGTTGCTTTTTTTTTTTATTCTAATGTTTTTAGTCATTAGTCTATGTCTGTTTGCTTTTGTCAATATCTCACCTGAATTTTGTAAGTATTTCTTATCTTAGTTTTTGGCTGTCACACTGGGAAAAAATAACAATCCTGTTAAGGATTGAGACTTAATGTGACAAAATGTCAAGAGGTTCAACGGGTATGAATTGTTGAGGTGTTTATTAGGATAGAGCAGAACCATCTTTTAAACACCGCAGGGGAGGAGATGATTGTAGAGAAAACTTCCTTGAAGTGTCACCATGTTGTCACTTTAGGTGAAAAAAAGTGTTATTATTGGAAAGAGATTATTGGAAAACAGACACACCAGAGCAAAGATCTCCCATAAACACTCTCACACAGTTTCCTGAGTGGAAGCTGCAAGGTCAAACATCTTGTGGGCGGAAATGTGATCCCTGAGGGTGGGGCTGTTCATGGATCATGCTCACTCTCTAATCTTATGAGTGCCTGTCATCTTTCTCATGCTGCACACCTCATCCAGCTCAGTGTAGATTATCAGGGCTACTGTTGCCGCTTTTGAAGACCTCAGCACAGACCAATCAGCTGTCCTGCAACGGCACGACAGGCTCCCAGATTATGGTTGCCCCAACCCACTGAGGTGGATCCTAAATTTACCAAGCATGCCAGTGTTTAAATCTAAAATGGCAACTGACAGTGTACGCCAGGGGACAACTTGTAAACTATTTAATGTTACGTGAGCTGGTAGATGCAATACAATATCAAAACCACTTCAGGAGGAATCAAAGCTGCCTTCGGTTAGGACACATCCTCTATGGGAATCTAAGCAATGAAAAGCATTTCCCTGCACTGACAGGCTGCAGCTGCAGCCCAACCAGCGATGTAAAATACCAGTTTCCTTTTTTTTCCCAACACAAATGACTGATGAGCTACTAGGCTGCTCTGTTCATCCTTCCCGTCAGTCACTCACAGGAGCTCGATGACAAGAGGTCATGTTGCTCATTTTTTCTCTTCATCCTCATTCATCTCCTTAGGACTGCTTAACTTTCACTTGGAATAAGAGAATCTAACTTTTTTAGGTGGTATTTTATCACAAACAAAAGGTAAGTCAAAAAGAAACCCATGATTTTACTTTGCAAATGTGTTCTTCATCCTTTTAAAACTTTTAGTATATAATTCAGCGGATGCTGATTTTTATTATAGTTAAATGCACAATTATTCAAAAACTGTCCTTTTTTAAAATTATGTTTCATGTAGATCTGGGTAAGAAATGTAAATTCATTTAAAACATCTGTCTAACGTCTCTGATCTCAGAGCGTTATGGGCTTGGGTTTACTGACCCAGATAGTTAGTCCCTTCAGATTCATTGGCCTTGTTTTAACAAATTACATTAGACCCTCTGGGATGTAAAAGCAATCAGAATTATAGTCATTTCTTTTTTCAAACAAAAAGTACATATGTATGAAAAAGCATGTTTTAAATATTCTGGTGGGAGCCTGTATTGCATTCAATCTGTACAATCCTTTAATTTTTCACTGTCGTCTGCACATGTTTATCATAAATCATCAACTTTTTATTATGTAAAGGAAAGTGGTGTAAATGTGATGAATTCTTGTCTCTGCTCTTTCACAAGGCAACACCCAAAATTAGATTAGCAGCTGTTATCTCAACATGACATCTTAACATTTACCCTGCAGCTCAAATTAAGGAAAAACTAGCAGTTTTTGGTCCGATTTAAAAGGCTAATTTGAGGAGCATACATACCTTTATGAGGATTAAGCCATGTATCACAAAGGTATTCAGATCCCCACTTAATCACAGAAATGTAACTGTGGTTTTTTTTTTTGCAATTGTACAACAATATTTTGCCTAATTTTAAGTAACATGAAAGTGGTGGCATCGTTTTCACAGTTTCTTAACAAATAAAATCTGAAAAGTGTTCCATGCAGGTATTCTGTAGAAGTGTTTTTTGCTGCTGTTACAGCTGCTATTCTACCGATGTATGGTTTTGCACATTTAGAGACATTTTGCATTTTTTTTCTTTGCAAGATACAGAAAAAGCATGGAGGACAAAAACATTTCAATTCTTACCACTGATTCTCCTTTCATCATATGTCTGAACTTTGACTAGGCCACCAATAAATATGATCAGATCTAAAGTGTTCTAATGTAGCACTGGCTAACTGTAGCATTCAGCTACATCTTACAATCAACTCTGCCCAAATACCTGAACCTTGCTGAAAAGACAGAGAATGATGAGGTAGTTTTCCACTTCATCTTGCAGACTTCCATGTTTGCAAACCGTTTTCTTTTTTGACTCTTCTGACAGCAGTGCCTTCTCCTTCATTTAGTATATACCTTATTTTATCCCTGTATCAAAACAAGAGCATAATTTTGATGTTTTTTATTTTTATTTTATCTTAATCTTTGAATTCTAAGACATTTTGCAAATGTTTGTGAATACGGGCCTGTACTACCTAATACTACTTGAGCGGTGGCGCTCCTCCAAAGTTACAATAGACCCATTTTGCTGTTTCCCTGTTTAATGCTGTTCATAATCAATCTGTCAGTTTAATATTGTACGATAATTCTGAATTCAGTCGCTACACTTTGGAGATATCTATGTGTTAGAAATATTTTTTTAAACATGTTTTTTTTTTTTACTATTTAGCTAACAGACATGTTGCATATCTATCCTTCTATTTTCTTTTAAAGTTGTGGTGGCTCAAAACGTTAGTGGCATATTTAGCAGGTCACTATGATATGGGAGAAGCTGAAGCCTCCAGAGCCAGACGATCGTATGTGTTGCTGCGAATGTGATATCAACCAGTGCAGGTGTTGCTGTGACTGTGAAGACCTGGATGAAGCTTTCAGTAGGTATGAGCACTGTGATGAAACTGCTACAATGATACAGAAATCTGTGAGACTGTAACAGAAAGCTGAAAAAAATGTAGGAAGAAAATGTTTGCTTATTGGAAGCAATCCTTCAACGTGAGCCACTTAAACAGGCGACAGAGTCCATTGATTATCCACAACTTGCTGTATGTAAACTAGAAAATAATAGAATAACTATGAAAAGACATAACTAATAACCCAAACTAAGTAAACGTAGGAAAACAATCAAAACTAGACTTATAAAAACTTTATTGTCATTTAGTATACAAAGAATGCATAAAAAAAAAATTTTGATAGACACAGCTTTTCGGCATTGAATGAGCAGTTTAGCACTGAAATGAACATTTCAATGTATAAAGAGCAGCAGTGATCAAAATGTGAAAAGTGTAGGAGAGACATGGTGCAAAAGGCATTAATGTAGAAGGTTCAGAGCAGTGCAAAAGAATAAACAAATAGATATTGTGCCAAATTAAACCCTTAAACATGACATTACTATAAAATTTTTCGACATTTAAAACGTCTCTAAGTATTTTTTGGAAGATATGTAGCCTAAAATGATTTAATTCTTTCTTTTAAATTTGTTTCTGAGAAGAAAGGCTGAACAGTTAGTCTAAACTATCAGCACTGCTAAATTGAATCTAAAGATAAAACTTTTTAAATCTTTTTTTCACTAACTGATACTACTTGTTCGTCCTCTTTTCTGAGAGCTTTAAAGATTTAAATATGTTAAAAACACATATCAAATTTAATGTGAATTTGCATTTATGCTAAGGGTTTGAACACAAAGGAATGTTATATTAGAAATCAAGTTAATAGTGACACAAATGCCAGTAATTAGCCTCAAAAAGTTTGCAGCACAAGAGTTTCACAATTCAGCTGAGATAAACTGCTACTGCACAATGTCTGATGGTATATTTTTTCTGTTATGACTCATGTCCCTGCTGTCCATAGCTGGCTGAAGGAGAAACCACCTTCTTGTGGGATCCAGTGTCCTGCCTTTGGGACCATGATGGACAACATGAAGATCTCCATGATCCCAGCTCTGCTTCTACTGCCTCTCCTGCTGAAAGCTGCAGCTCTTCACTACCTGCTGGGCATTATCATCCTGACGGCTCTGCCAGGCCTGGTGCTGTCTTACTACTATGCCACGCACCGAAGGAAAAGGCGCACCCTCTTCTTCCTCACCCTTGCACTGTACTCTCTGGCCTACATGTATTACCTCTTCATCACAGAGATCTTACCCCGTGGAGATGTAAGCCCACTGCAGACGTTTGCTGTGACCACTGGGATGATTCTCACCATAGTGTCCCTTATTCACACTAAGAGAGGTCCGGGATTTGTCACTGCCTCACTGCATGAAGCAAACCATCAGCAGATGGATGCGGAGAATGAGTTAACCAATTCTGATGGATGTATTCAGTCAGCAGACTCAGAAAAGACAAGAAAACATCCAAATTCAACAAAATGGACCTTGTGTCCTGTGTGCAAAATAATGCGACCCCCGCGTGCTGGACACTGCAGAACCTGTGGATTATGTGTTCAACGTCTGGACCACCACTGTGTCTGGTGGGTCTTAGTTATAATGGTTTAGATCCGTTTTCTTGCTGATCTTCCCAAATAAGATGCTGGATCTAGTGAATGCTAGTGCCCAGGCTGCATACCTGCAGAAAAAAAAGGCTCACTTTTTCACACTTGGATATGTTACAGAATTATCAGAAGATGTGTGAGTTATCTGCTAGCAATACTGCATTTGGCATTTTAATGTTATTTAAAATACAGATTGAAAAAAAAAACGTTTATTTGTTCAGTAATGCAAAGATGCAAGTTGCTTAGAATCCTGGTGAGAAAATAACTCAAGCTTATCTAAATTAGATAGAAGTTAACACTGTTCAGATTAGAGATAAATATGATTTGCCACTTTAGAAACATTTTATTTGATTGAAAATGTATATGGAGAGTAACTCAAAGTGGAAAGAACACAGAAATTTTTAAATGTGACATAATTAGTACTCCTCCTTCCTAACCTTTCACAACAGGACCAACCTATATATCAACCAGCTTTGGGGCTGGGCAATATAGTTTAAAAATTAAATCTAAGCCTTTCTCACACCAGATTAGATTTGTATCTTTGAATGTCTTTTTGTTTTATAAAAATAAATTACAAATACATAAATGGCTTTTAAAAACTTAGTGCATCTAAATCATTTTCTCTTGTTGACTATAATTCAAAGTACAACTAAATGCAAGTTGTGAAACATGGTTATAAAACACGTTAATAAACCTCCCTCCCCAGTCCTCTTTCACAACCAGATGTTTGATCTAAATTTAGCTCCATCCATCTCCTGATCAACTTTGCCTGCTTCTCTATCCTTGCAGAGCAGTGGTTATCCTACAGCATGATGCTCATACACCCTTTTATTAGAAATGTATTAAATTTATAGATGAATTGAGCAGTTTTTAAGTCACACAAATCTTTACATTTTGGGACTTTATACTTTTGAGGATTTGGCTGATGTGGTCAACCTTCTTAGCTTTGGTGAGGGTGCAGGCAGCAGAATTCGGAATCAGCTGCAGCTACATGATCCATTCTTCAGGGAGGCCTGTGAATATACCATCAATTAATTATACTAATTATGAACTCTTTAAGTAGTTTTTCAAGGTCCTGTTGAGACGTAAGACCTTTATTCTTAGAAATGTTCTGTGGGTGACAGGAGGATGACTTTTTTACTGATATTATGAATCTTTAAAGGTTCAGGTCTGAATCCATCACCACACCGATTTAGAGCCTGACTGACTGGAATTTGGTCTGGAATATTAGTGATAACTTTTAAATGCTTTTTATTTGGTGCAAAAAATATTTCTTCAGTTTTATTTTGCTTCAACTAAATAAAATATTGGCACATTTGTGCATTTAGAATTTTTTATTCAATTATTTACCAAGTGCCTGAAAAGGTCAAAAGTCACATGGTCACATCGTACAGCTGTGTGTCGTCTGCATAGTTATGGTAACTTGTGTTGTTCTTTATTAAGATCTAAGTCAGGGGGAGCATGTAGATATTAAATAAAAGTCTGCTTGGCCTACATGAAAAATGAAACACTTTAATAGAAACCCAACTCTATTAGAGTTTTTTCAACACTTATGCTGTCTGAAGGCGGTGGGGAAGAAGCTGTTTTAGAATTTGCTGGACCTGCATTGAATCCTGCAAAGCCTCTTCCCATGGGGCAGCAAGTAGAACAGTCCATGGTGGGGGTGTGAGGGGTCATTGATGATGTTATGGGATTGGGGCACGCAGCGCCGGGATGAAGTGTCTTTTATGGAGGGAAGAGGACACTGACTAGAGTACTCTCTTATATTAAAAACAAAAACAAATCCTTTTTTTCATGACAATCTTCTATAAGGGTCAGATTAATGGTCTGCATTCCTAATACTTTTCTTAGCAGACAACCTTCCTGATCTGTGGGTCTCTGAAGCTGCTTCTGAGTTACTTTGGGCAAACATCTGACACCTTGACAAATTAATAGCATTTATACTGAGATTTTGAGATTGAGTAACAAACTCTTGGATTGGGTTTATTAATCAAGGGCTTTAAATTAAATCGGTTGCTCTTAGTTCATATGGGGACAGAATTGAATTGAAATTGATGCCACACTTTTCTTTATTGAAGCACTTTGAAAACGATGGATTATTTTAGCTTTTAATTATTCACTAAGTTAGGTAAATCAAAGCTTCTGACTGTAACATGAGAAAATGTGAAATAAAATTTTAGATGCATTTTTCTCTCCATCAACTGACTCGTCTGCCGTCTGTGTTGCATGTTGAGATGCTGCAGGATAAACAGCTGCGTGGGACAAGCAAATCACCGCAGCTTCCTGCAGACCCTCTGTGTGTTTGTGCTGACTGCCGTGTACGGGATCAGTGTGGTGCTCCGCAGCCTCTGTCCTCGTCAGTATCTGATGACGGCCCTCTTCTACTGCCCCGGCGTCTACAGCCAGCCCAGGTGCTGCAGCCCTTTTAAAAACTGTCTGCAGGAGAATATCGACAAACTTGAAATATTAATGTTTTATCAAGAAAAAGATGCATTTGGAGCAGAAGTCTACTCTGCGATTGACTTTTAAGTTTTTAACATCTTTTATTTTATTTTTTTTATAAGCAGTGTGTGTTATATGACATGTAGTGATGTGTTTGCTCCATGTGTGTTTACAGCACGGCCCTTTGCTTCACCTGCTGTTGGTACAGCAGCATTATCACTGTTGGATTGATCTACCTTCTGGTAGCTCAGGTTGTGAACATCAGCTTCAATGTGACTGGGCGCGAGGCTCAGCTGGCTGTGAGGAACAAAAAGGGCCAAAGCCGTCTGTGGGGACTCGTCATCGACACTGGGGAGTATTCACGTGGTTTCTATCAAAACTGGGTTGAGTTCCTCACCATGACAGATTCTTTTATGTCATTTCACTCCAGTCCCACAGACTTAGTCTAGTTAGTCTTTCTTTCTAACAAATTTCACATCAGCTCTTCACTGGACCTTGAGCCCACTGCTGTGGCATATGAACCTGACAACAGTTTTAGTAAAAAAAAAAAAAAAGCTTGCAGTGGAAATGTAAAGGTTCTTTTCTTTTAAAGAAAAAAAAAAGCACAGATTGATGCATGTTTTAGAGTTAGAACTTGCTGCACAATTATTTTCCTCATGATTGCCATTCAGTTTAATACAATTTTGTTAATCCTAAGGGGAATCTATGATAGCTGTAGGTAGGAGGGATTTTCTGTATCAGTCTGTGTTGCACCGGATCTGGAGAAGCCTCTGACTGAACACACTCTATTATTGTTTATGTAACAATCTTCTCAGATGGTTTTCCTTAGATCGGAAACCTTGAACACTTTGACTGTATCATCTGATTGAATCATCTCAGTAAAGTGCCTCCAGGTGACATTTTGTGAATTGGAGCTTTAAAAATAAACTGAATTCAATAGAAGAAATAATATAAAGGTGAATTTATAGGAATTCTTGAAAAGGTACAAGTCCTATTATTTAACATTTACACCATTCAATTATTTAATGAAGCTCTCAGTTAATAAAAATACCCTTTAGTAGTAAATGGGGCCAACCATATATAAAGAGAGAGAGTAGAGTGTATGAATAATGATTCCTTTCTGCATTATTTAACATCCATTTTCCTTTTGATCCAGAATTTTGCCTCATGCTTCCATCCATCCTTTCTCTTTTTAACCTTTTTGATTTCTTGTCAAAACAGTTTATTAATAACTTATTTGCTCGATAGATATTTCCCCTTAATTTACCAATGAGTTCATCATTTATTGTCTCTTCCACTTACCTCAGCAGATATGAAAAAGACTGAATAGTCTGTCCTCTGCTGCCCTCCTCAGGCCACTCTTGTTCTTCCAATAAAAATTCTCAGGAACTGTCCTACAGCAAGGAACAGTGTATCACCAAAGTAAATACACCCCTCACATTCCTGCAGGTACTTAAGTTTATCTTTTCATGGGGCAACACTGAATACGCATCACTTTAAAACAAAGAGAAATAGTCTTTGTGCAGCTTATACAAAAGTCTAAATGTATAGTTCCTCAAAACAACAAAGAAATTTGGCCATTAATAGCCGAAACCCTGGAAACAAAAGTGAGTACACCCCATGGTGAAAGCTCCAAATGTGTCCATATTTTGTGTAACCAACGAGTTTACCCGAGCTTCCATCACCTTTACCTGCAGTCTCTTCAGGAAAGCAGTGGTTATCCTAGAGATGTGTTTGGGGTCATGCTAGAACACTGCTCAGCGGCCCACTTTCTGAAGGGAGGGGATGCTGCTCTGCTTCAGTATTTCATAGTACATGTTTGAGTTCATGTTTCTCTCAATGAAATGTAACACCCCAACACCTGCTGCACTCATGCAGTCCCAGACCATCACATTCCCACCACCATGCTCGACTGTAGGCATGATACACTTATCTTTGAACTCCTCACCTGGTTGTTGCAACACATGCTTGAGACCACCTTAACCAAACATAATCTTGATTTTATGAGATTTTAGGACATAGTTCCAGTAATCCATTTGCTGACATCAGGACATGTTTACAAGCTTTCTTGCGTACAGATTTCAGAAGAGGCTTCCTTTTGTGGTGACAGCCATACAGACCAATTTTATGAAGTGTGCGGTATATAGTCTGAGCACTGACAAGCATAACCCTCACCTATTCAATCTCTGCAACATTGCAACCAGTGATCCTGAACCTATCAAAGACAGCATTTAATCTTGGCCCCGGTGCTCCAGCTTCAGGGTGTTGGCAATATAGCACAGCCATCTCGTGCAACAATTCCTCTTTAAAGTTCATTGCCACATTGGAACTGCTAGTGACCAATATGCGAAAGTGGGAGAGCTGTACTAGAAAACTGAACACACCTGCTACCTATGCATGACACATTAACTAGTCACATGAAATGTTAAAAAGAAAAGGACAAGTAGTGCCCAGTTTGACATTCAGGGGTGTAGTTTCTTCAGGGTTTACTGACTTTTGTTGCTAGTGGTTTGGATATAAATAGCTGTTTATTGCATTCATTCGAGGAAACAATGCATTTGTACTCTTATTTAAGCTGCACACACACTAGTTTCCTTTGCTATCAAGTGACATTTCTTTTCCCATAAAAAGATTTACTTCAGTATCTGCAGAAATGTGAAGGGTGGAATAACTTTTATGATACAGTGTACATACAAAAGCTGTAAGCAATTTTCTATTGAAAACATAATTCATGTAGACCTTATAAACAGACACATACTAACCGTTTTTTTCTAAGTGCCTGACACTAAATCAGACTAGACTTATGCTGCTTTTTGGTCTTTAAATCAAGAGGAACAAACTTGCTAAATGCAAAATAACAACTAAGTGAGCATTATAATTCCACAAGCTTACATGCTATTCCATTAAAAGTTTTGAGGAAACCAAATATGGTTGTGCAGTAATATAGCATGCGCTTTATGTTCTTTTCATTAGGCTTGACAACAAGAGTAGCATCCATTTGTCCAACTCCATGATGGTGGAGGGATGAGGGCAACAGGTCCAATAGGGCAATGTGAATGCTGCCTGAGCACAGACCATAAGAATGAACCCAGAGCTTGTTGCCATGAACTGGTTTTAAAAACTGGGAAGGAAAGACAGGATGGCCCTTCTAAATTCCCTTGACAAAGAAAATGTATTTCTCATTTTCTCCAAAAGCAACCGCTTCTGTTCACGACAGTAAATGCTGTTTTGAGACAGTCTGTTGCAGCTGCAAGGTTTTGCAAGGGTCAGCTTTCATAACTACAGTTACATAACTTTTTGTTTTTGGCACAATCTCTAATTATTTTGCTTTTTATATTGCACAGCACACATGTTTAAACTGGTAAGGCACACATGCGCAAAGACTCTGAATTCCTGTTGTTTGTTGTGCATTCATAGCCCTGGAACAAAATCCTGGAAAAAAAAGTCTTTCATTTTTTTGGACACAGAAGTAACATAAGATGACTTAAGAATGTTTCCAATTTTCCTAATTCATATGGATGAAATAGCCTTTTGTGTTTATTTTTTTTTTATGTTTTATCATTTGATTGATCGTCTGTGCCTTCTAATATGATTATGTCTAAACTTGATATTCCTAGAAAGGTCGACGCCTTCTGTGAGTTCTCAGTGGCCTGATCTCTATGTTTTTGCAGCTACTTGTTTTTAACTGCCCTGAAAATATCTTCAGTGAAATGCAGCTGTTTGGTAATTAAGGGTCTTCTAGATTTCTTTTGTTATTATTTATTTATTTTTTTTGCAAAGCAGCCATTTCTCTAAATTTCCATTAAAACCTTCTAATTTATTTGATATATTAGTATTGTGTAAAAGACAATCTGAGGCTTCCCTCTAGCCTTTTGAGTATTTGCAATAATTGCTACTGCTACTTCACAGATGGTTGCATCGGTGAAACATAGCCTATTTTATTTTTTTGCATTTATAGCTACATTGTTTTTTTTTCTTCCACTTCATAAATCAATTCCCATTGATTCAATCTTTAACAATCTAATTCTATAGAAAAAAATGAAAAAAATAAACCACATCTTCATCTTTAAGATATGCATTTACTTTAAACTCATGACTATAGTTAACAGGTGGTGTATTATTATTATTATTATTATTATTATTATTATTATTATTGTTGTTGTTTTTTTTTCAAATAATGCTGCTTTTGATTTAAATGCCTGATGCCTGTAGGATCTTTGGAATAAAATCATCAAATCCTATTTGGGTTGTTTTTTGTGAGTTAATACCAATGTAAATTAGTATTAAATCAGATTTGAAAATTAAATTGTAAGGACTTTGTATCTTGACAGACTTTTTGATTACTGCAATCATCATATTGCCATCCAATTAAATGGTTAGAAATTGTATGAAGATAAAGCTGGTGATTTGCACCCCAAAAGAAAGCTATTCTTGCAGCTCAGTCTCCTCTCTTCGCTTTTCAATTGTTGTGGACTAGTTTGTTGACCTGTCCTCCTCTTGTTGATGAAAGTGCTTACATAGCCTCTGCTGCCGTCGTCTGTGCAATATGTTAGGGTTTTTTTTCTGTGTTTTTTGCTCCTCTGTCTTTGGTTCATGGTTTCAGCATAGGGTCGCCCACTGACATGTACCACCCACAAACTCTTTCTTTCGTTTTAAAAAGAAAAGGAAAGTGATGGCTGATTTCCAATCACATGTAAGGCCACCTTTTGCTGCAGAGAAAAATGTTGGTTCTTTTGGACCATGTCTCTCTGAGACTGACACATCTAGAGATTTAAATTTTTCTCATATTCCAAGAAAAAGTTTGGTTAGATTGGATTAAATGTGTCCCTGAACATTCATTCATTCATTCATTCATTCATTCATTCATTCATTCATTCATTCATTCAAGTCTTACCAGATAATTCAGGTTGAATTTAGGTCTAAGCTCTAACTGGGTCACTCGGACACGTAAATAAGCTTGAACAGAAACCAGACTCTGGGATCTCTGGCTGAACGTTTAAGTTCATGGTCTTGGTGGAAGGTAGACCTCCTCACCAATCTGAAGTATTATACAGCCTTTTACAGGTTTTCCTCCAGGACTGCCCTTCATATAGCTTTATCTTTGCCGTTTGTCTTAGGAAATGCTTCCAGACAGCATGATGATGTTCAAAGTGCTAGGTAGTTTTTGTTTTTTTCCTGACACATATTGATGCATATAATTCTAGTATCAGAGTCGAGAATTTATTTATCGACAAAAAGGTATTAAATTTTTCTTGCACTTCACTTTGCAATATGACACTTTGTGCAAAAAATAAAAAACAACAATCCCAAGAAAGTGCAGAGATTTTAGTTTTACATTACATAAAGTTGAACACCTCACAGAGTATTAACACACTTGCAAGGCATCCTGTTTGATTGGACTGTATAAGAATGAATTTAAATGGTTGGAGCAGAATTTAATCCATATACATGGACATGAATTAAACTTCTTTATTCTTTTTTGCAGAACAATGATAATATATTTTCTGTGATTTAAGGCTGTATGAATAAACTTATCTGTGCAAAGAAAAAACTGAAAGTGTTGTTTTGTGCAAAGCCAAAGCCATGTAAACAGCTCAATAATTTTTCATGGTTTTGTTTACTTAGTCTTATGAAGTGTATTTTAAATGTAGAAAAAGTGTGCTGTAAACCTTTTCGTTCATGCAGACACATTTCAATGTTCCTGCTTACAATGAAATCAACATTGGTGGCTTTTTGGCCACAGCCCTTTTCTTCTCCTTACATCCTTTAAACACTCAAAAAAAAATTTTCTTAAACATTTTTGGTTTCTGTAATGAAACTGTTATAAATAATGATTTAGTATGGATCAATTTCCTTTATATATATATATATATATATATATATATATATATATATATATATATATATATATATATATATATATATATATATATATATATATATATATATATATATATATATATATATATATACACTCACCGGCCACTTTATTAGGTACACCTGTCCAACTGCTCGTTAACACTTAATTTCTAAGCAGCCAATCACATGGCGGCAACTCAGTGCATTTAAGCATGTAGACATGGTCAAGACAATCTCTTGCAGTTTAAACCGAGCATCAGTATGGGGAAGAAAGGTGATTTGAGTGACTTTGGTGGACTTTTGGCATGATTGTTGGTGCCCGAAGGGCTGGTCTGAGTATTTCAGAAACTGCTGATCTACTGGGATTTTCACGCACAACCATCTCTAGGGTTTACAGAGAATGGTCCGAAAAAGAAAAAACATCCAGTGAGCGGCAGTTCTGTGGGCGGAAATGCCTTGTTGATGCCAGAGGTCAGAGGAGAATGGCCAGACTGGTTCGAGCTGATAGAAGGGCAACAGTGACTCAAATAACCACCCGTTACAACCAAGGTGGGCAGAAGAGCATCTCTGAACGCACAGTACGTCGAACTTTGAGGCAGATGGGCTACAGCAGCAGAAGACCACACCGGGTGCCACTCCTTTCAGCTAAGAACAGGAAACTGAGGCTACAATTTGCACAAGCTCATCGAAATTGGACAATAGAAGATTGGAAAAACGTTGCCTGGTCTGATGAGTCTCGATTTCTGCTGCGACATTCGGATGGTAGGGTCAGAATTTGGCGTCTACAACATGAAAGCATGGATCCATCCTGCCTTGTATCAACGGTTCAGGCTGGTGGTGGTGGTCTCATGTTGTGGGGAATATTTTCTTGGCACTCTTTGGGCCCCTTGGTACCAATTGAGCATCGTTGCAACGCCACAGCCTACCTGAGTATTGTTGCTGACCATGTCCATCCCTTTATGACCACAATGTACCCAACTTCTGATGGCTACTTTCAGCAGGATAATGCGACATGTCATAAAGCTGGAATCATCTCAGACTGGTTTCTTGAACATGACAATGAGTTCACTGTACTCCAATGGCCTCCACAGTCACCAGATCTCAATCCAATAGAGCGTCTTTGGGATGTGGTGGAACGGGAGATTTGCATCATGGATGTGCAGCCGACAAATCTGCGGCAACTGTGTGATGCCATCATGTCAATATGGACCAAACTCCCTGAGGAATGCTTCCAGCACCTTGTTGAATCTATGCCACGAAGAATTGAGGCAGTTCTGAAGGCAACCCGTTACTAGCATGGGGTACCTAATAAAGTGGCCGGTGAGTGTATATATATATATAAAAAATTGATATAAATTGCTTTAAGAATCTTTGTCTGTTTATTATTCAAATGAATAGTGAAGTCATCTTTTACTGGATTTTAAACCCAAAAATAAACATTAAAGTTCCTCAACTGTCCACCTCAGCTCAGCACAAGTTGAGGCATCATTAGGAATCAGTTTGCATGAGCAGGTTTGTTTGTCTGCCTCACAACTGCTGACAGACGAGTTTGATTCAATAGTCCCAGCCAGAGAAAGCACTGGAGGACAGGCTTGTTTACCAATCCTGGGTGGGGGTTTTTTTCCTTCCTTTTTTGACACATAACTCAACTAAATAATACTTCTACAGTTTAACTGAGGGTAAATGAACATGTTGGTGCTTGTCTACCCCATAACCCCCTACAGCTATGTCCTAACCTTGGGGTTGTGAATCTGTACATGTGTTTGCCTGAAGCTTCACGTGTTTGAACCCAGCCCAGGGTGTGTGCATGTGTGTGTGGATGATGGAGATGAAAAGGTACACCCCCCCCCCCCTCTGCTATATAAGCAATCATCAGGCAGATTGTTCAACATCAGCCCTGCAGACCTTCATCCAGCCTCCAGGAATCATACCATCTCTTCAGCAGCCATGAGTCCACTGCTCGTCCTGCTGGGAGCCGCGCTCTGCGCCCTGACGATGTCCAGTGAAGTAGTGCCTCAGGCAGACTTCAACTTACAGGGGGTGAGAGACGTTACACTATCAACTATTTTTATACAGATTATCAATACAGAATGTTTTATAAAAACTCTCTAAAGGTGTTACTGCAAAGATCTGCAGGTTGATCTTCTGTATTATGTATATGTAATAGTAATATTTTAGATTTCTTTTGGAATTAATCAGTTTTATATTCTTTTCTCTCTTTTTTTACTCAAGACATAATAATAATAAAAAAAATTATTCTGAAAGTACTTCATACAATTATCAGCCAGGAAACTTATGACATTTTTTTTTCTTTTATCAAAAATCAGATCAAAGCTTCCAAATATTCTATGCATCAATGAATGTTTGAAAGCACAAAGTTCCCAAAAATAAAAGAAAAACACATTATTCAGTGTTTACTTCTGTGTTATTGATTGATTCAAGCACAGATTTATGACATTTATAACTAATTTAACATTTAGTTAATAAAATGATCTTTTTCTTATTATAAGTTCATGGAGGGGGGGGGGGGCACTGAAACTATTCCAGTCAGTGTTATTGGTCGAAATGAATTTGTGATTGTTACCCAGTTCAGTGTTAGGGGTAAATTAACAAACTGGACTGATGATTAAAAATATATATATAATTTGATGTCATTCTGCACTGCAGAACAAGACACATGAAATAAAAAAAAAAAGTAATTACGTAGGCTTTAATGCAATGCCTTAAATTTTAATAACTGGTATTCAAAGTAGGTTGTAAACATTTTAGAATAAATATAGATATGATTTAACTTCTAAATATATATATAAATATAAAAATATTGCATTTAAATATAACGATTATAGATTAATAATCCCATTGATAATGGAATATGTATAAATTATGTCAAATTCACATATATGTGTTTCCCTAATGCTCCTTTTTTTATGGAACATTTAAATAATTTTAAACTTCTCTGAACATTTTTTTATTCAACATTAATTAAATAATTATTCTATCGTCTATCTGGCACAGCTGAAGCAGAACTTTATATATAGTTTAAAAACTTTAAATACACCTTATGGTTAAATGTTATTTAGAAAAAGGTCATTATTTGTATTAACTGACACATTTATGAATAATTAATACATATAAAACATACATAGTATTCAATTTATTACACTGTCATTAGACAGTAAGTTTCATTCATAAAAATCTCAAAGTGTATTCTGCCTAATTTGTTATTCAGAAACACCAATGCACTTTGGGGGCTCCCAGCTGGCCCCTGGGGGCTTTAGGAATTACCTTTATTTTATGTCTTAGGCCAACTCTGTTTAGGGGTAATATTAATGGAGAACCCAAAAAATTCAACCTAGTGATGCACAAAAGCAATTGACCACTGTCTAAAGGCAAAAAAAAACATCTTAAGGTTATTTAATATCCTGCTTTTACCGTTTGTCTCCATAGATAGCAGGGAAGTGGTACCTTATCGGATTTGCAACCAACGCCCAGTGGTTCGTGAAACGCAAAGCTACAATGAAAATGGGCACTGCCATGCTAAACCCAACTGCAGAGGGAGACTTGGATATTTCATACGCCAGTCTCAGGTAAGTGTGAGTGAACAGAGAGCTGAATTTAGAAAGTAAAAGATGATTAAGTTTTAATTTCTTTGCAGCTCTGATGGTTCTTGCTGGAGAAAGAACAGCCTGGCCAAGAAGACAGACACGCCTGGGAGGTTTACATACACTTGTCAGCGTAAGTGCAATGTGCACGCCAATGTAACATGGTATGAACAGCCCCATATTAACCTATTGTTGGTTTCAGGTTGGGGGAGTGAGAACGACATGCGTGTGGTGGATGTCAACTATGAACAGTATGCACTGATCTACACCACAAAAAAGAAGGCGGGAGAGCTCACCACTGTCACCAAACTTTACGGTACAGTTTTGATTCTATAGCCACATTTCATGTTCCTTTTAGCAGCAGATTAATCTATTCTGCAAATCCAGGCCGTGAAGAGGAAGTTGGAGCTGAGGTGATGGAGAAATTCAGACAGCTGTCCTTGGAGGCCGGCGCTCTGCCTGAAAACATTGTTTTCCTTCCTAAACAACGTAGGTTTACATAACTGAAGGTTCTTTTTTTTGTTCCCAAAATATTAAAGCCATGGAAAAAACTAATTAACCTCATCTACTTTGCATTCTTCAGCCGAGTGCCCAGCTGCCTAATTTTCCTTCTCCGCTCATCATGTCAGAGATGCAAACTGCAGATCGTCAGCATTACTGTGGAAAGATTCATCCAGCATATCTACTTGCATAAAAATCTTCAACCACGCCGCTTTTCCATTTACCTTTGCACAAACTTTGAACTCTGCTGGCAAAATAAAACAACATTTAAAATACTTTGTTTTATTATCATTTTTTAACAAATACGCAGACGTACATCCATAACAACACAGTTCGGATTTCCTTTTCATCAAGTGTTTACATCTACACGCTTTGTACAGGTCTGTATACAAAACAATAATTTACGTCCCATAGAAGTCTAGTTACACTTAACTATACAACGAGTTGTAAGTGAAATAAATATAAAAACAGAAATGATCACAGGTGTTGAAAGATCTTGAAAAGCCATAATATGCGTACACCACCAGCATCTGAAATTTGCATCTAGAAAGAGATACATTTTCCCCTTTTCTACTAGCAAAAGTAGATCTGATGGTAGAGAACAGTTCAGTCCATAGTTCCATGTTCTGAAGCACCACATGTAGGATTCCCAACATTTAGACATTTCACTCAAATCATCTTTAAAAATATCTGCTTTCTCTCCTTTGTGAGAATTCATGGATTCGAAAAACAGTAATTTTGGGCTTCTCCAATAGATGCAAACAATTACAGACAAACAGAAATATCAGACATAAAGTAAAGCATTGATTGCACATCAATTTATGTGAATATGAGAGCAAACAAATCGCTTCCATACTGTGTCCACTTCTTTTACAGGTAAATGTTAAGATTGTGAGGGACTCCTGAAGCCCAGAATGATTTTTTTTTCTATTATTTGACGCCCTTCTGTTTTTTGTTACCACAACAAAAGCATTATGTTACATATTGGCGGGTTTAAAGCACCAGAAGGCAACAAAAAAAGGAGATTTTCTAAGTCTTCCTTCTCTTTCCCCCAAACAAACAAACTCAATTTCACAAGTGCTACTTAGTACATGTGGCAAACCAAATCTCTGTGGTGTTCAATGCATATTTTAACACAAACATTTTGAAAAAATTACACTTTGATTTTAAGACAAATAATGCGGACCGACTTTAACTGAGAACTGATTGCGACTTGCCAAATCCAAAAAGAAGTTTTACAAAGAGACAAACTGCCATGCACAGAGTCACCAGCAGGGGACATGCAGTTAAAAAGTGCAAGTCTATGAAGAAGGGAGGGAGGGAGGGAGCCAACAATGTCAGAGACTTAATGGTATGTACATGGGGATACATCTGCTAAGAAACAAGAGGATTAGAACGAGCTAAAAACAACAGATTGGACTAAAGTAGAGTAAAACCACCAGACTGTTTCTGACACTGTGAAAGGACTCGGTTGGGTGATGTAGGGTTTTTTTTTATGTTGGTCATTGTTCTGGCACAGTATTTGGCTCCGTTAGAGTCACTCTGCCTGCACCACGTCCTTGTGGTGACGCATGATATGCTGGTTCTTTTCCGAAGGCCGTCGGAAACCTTTGGAACAGATCTCGCAGCGGTGAGGGTAGTCCTTTGTGTGAATGGAGATCACGTGGCGCTTAAAACCAGAAGCATCCCCGGTGCTGTAGTCGCAGTACTGGCACTGGTATATTCTTTTCTCTTTTTGTCCTTTGCCGATAACAACAGTCACACTGCTGGCTAGGCTGGCTGCACTGACCCTGACAGGCGGGCCGGAGCCGCCCGACCCACTAGGTGCAGACTTTTTAGGTGCCACAACGGGAGTTTGCACCTCTGTCCTTTTAACTTCACTCTTTTCAGGTGAGGCCTGCTGCTCTTTTGTGTGGACAGATAAAATGTGGCGGCTGAGAACGAAGGGGTCTGCGATTTTGAAGTTGCAGTGTCGGCACTGGTGGAGTTTCTTAGTGCGGTGAGAGACAGAGTGTTTCTTTAGTTCAGATGGCCGATGGAAGCCCTTCCCGCACACAGCACATTTATGCGGATAGTCCTTGGTATGAACAGATATGATATGACGTTTCAGGTCGCTGGAGTTAGAGCTTTTGTGATCACAGTGGGCACAATGGTGGGTCTTATTCTCCTCGTGAGTCAGTCCGTGCTGCATCAACTCCTCCTCCTCTGCAAACGTCTGGAAACAGCGCTCACACTTGTACGGCATCTCTTTGCTATGCTTAGTCTTGATGTGTGTTTTAAGATTAGACGAATCGGCTGACTTGTAGTCGCAGTACATACAGGAGTAAGGCTTCTCACCAGTGTGCGTGCGCATGTGTTTCTTCAGCTCCGAAGGATGCCGAAAACCCTTCCCACACTCCACACAGATGTGAGGGAAACTTTTGCTGTGGACGGCCAACAAGTGTCGATTGAGCAGACCCTGCTCCGCAGTTTCATAGTCACAGAACTTGCACTTGTGCATCTTAGTGGGTGGAGGAGGCGGCTGGGCTTTGGGCTCCCTGTGGTGGTGCTGCAGCCTGTGTGAGAACAGAGCCCCCTGCTGGTGGAACTCCTTACCACACAATTCACACTCGAAGGGAGCTTTGCTGCTCAGTGCATGAACCTCCATGTGATTGTGGAGGCTGGCCTTCTTGTTGGTGGTGAAGTCACAGTCTGTACACTGGTACTTTTTACGGGTCAGGACATCCTGGTGGTGATTCTTAGTGTGTCGCTTCAGGAAACCCCTCGACTTGAACTTCTTACCACAAAGCATGCAGGGATAAACTGTCAGCGGCTGGCCGTACGGACCGATGATGATGGCTGGAAAGAAAAACAAAAAAACATTGTCATTTTCTTCTTTAGTTAAGTCCCAACAAAAAAAAAAAAAAACTTTTTTTTTTGCTGGGTCAATTACCTAATTTCCAATAAATTGAAATAGATTTCATGTTTATATTGTCACAGTTCTAAAGATAAAGGAGCCAAAACGTTGCAGGTAAATGTATATTTAGTTGTTTGCAAATCTTTCTTTTTTTAACCTCTTAACATCCACCTCATTTTGGGAAATTCTTGCCTATTTTGCATACCCAAATGGAAAAGCAATTAACTTAGGACATGTAAGCCCAAATTACATGTGTGATACATTATTTGAAACCCAACCCCTTTTAGTTTCTGAATATATACATAAAAATTGGGTCAGTTAAACACCCAAGCTGCATCAAGCTCAAGCTGCATCAGTTCAAACAAGACTTTTTTTTTCTTCTCAAAAATAATGTCTGTTTTGAACAGCAGTTGTAAAGACATGCTTGCTTGTTGCGGCTGCTTTGTAATGTTTACATTTTGACATGCTGCTATATCTGTATTAAATGTTATTTGGTGCTCGCCATTTTCATAACTTTTCATGAATAGTGGAGAATCTAAGCTTTCCAACGATATCTAAGATGTCTCTAATGTTAAACATTTTATCAGTGTAATTTTCATGCATTCTGAGTTATGTGTAAGCGCTTTAAAACGGTGGGTTTTTAGAGGTTAAATATATGCACAGTAAATGAATAGTGAAGGAGCATTTATTGAAACTGTGATACCTGTTGCATACATTGATAAAGGCTGCAGCTATCAATTTTAGTAATTAATCAACCCTAGCTTTTAATTTCTTTCATTTAAAAGGACACACATTAAATAGTGCACATTTTAAATGCATTGCAAACCTTAAAACACTATTTGCAGAACAAGTAAATTTAATCAATCTATTAGGGATGGGCAATATATCATGATGTTTTTTAAGCTAAGATTAAAAAAAAAAGTTAATGTTTGTATCAAGATGGCCCATTTTACAACCTTTATGAATACTGGTGGGTTATTTTTCAGGCATTTCCAACATGATCTCATGTTTAGCTACAGTTGTTTGTTAGAAAACATTCTAGTGAGAGACTTGGGACAAACCTTTAGGTCATAGGTGTGTTATTTAATTACCTTCTTAGCAAGCAGCCAAGTTCTGCAAAGTCCTGATTCAGATGTGTTAATATCTGAAAGGTGCGGGCCACCAGCCCTAAAGGACTGCAGTTTTACACCCCTGGATTAAACGTTAAGGCGTGAACACACCGGCTGCGTGCGATTTTTTTTTTTTTATCTCTGACCAGATTTTTCTTCTATGTCACACTGACTGCGTACAGAGAGGTTTCGACTAGGCAGGGTGGGCACATGTGCACAGATATTTTTCCCTTCTGTCTCAGCTATACATCAATTAAAACAATTTCCCACATTTGACTTGGACGGATTATGAAAGTTATAAAAAATAAAATAAAAACCACCGGCACAGCTATAAAGCAAAGCCCCACTTAATGAGTCTGTGCAGCATGTCAGAACAGATCAGATACAGAATACAAAAAACAAATCCTATATTAAAAACATAATGAGATCTAGGTCTAAAGAAAAGAAGAAAAAAAAAAGACAGCAAGAAACACTGTGGGGCTGTTTATATGTTTACTGAGGCAGACAGCTGATTCTCAGAGAGATAGCTGAATGTTTTTCTTTTTTTCATAAAAAGGAGAGAGATACACCGTGCTTACCTGATCTGTCTCCCCCTTGTTAAGTTGTTTTTTTATGAGGCTCAAAGAGGATTACTATTTTACTCTATGGGTTTTTTTCTCCTCTCGCTTTTTTTTTTTTTTTAAGGCGAGTGATAAATTGTGCTTTCTGTTCCTCATTTTTTCCAAGGCTCAAAGAGGATCCCTATCAGTTTTCTGTTCTCCTGAACTCCTATCATTGGTATTCTTTTTAATGCTGGATTGTTTATGCACGAGTCTCCAAACTGACTCTTTCCCCATGTGATTAACAGACTCAATTTAGCATTTTCCCCCAAAGCCAGTGTGTTTTACTTTATAACCATGTCTCATTTCCTGTCAGGCCCATTAAATTGCTGCTGAATTACTGCGTAGTCTGACTGAAATAGACCTGGGGTCTATCTCAGTCGGACCTACTGGGCCCCCTTGCATCAAATCGTGTCGGGTGGGATCATTCCCAGTGGCTTCCACTGAGCCACGACCTTGTCCGACAGGATTTTCTGTTGGATCGGACGCAAAATCGGATTCGGTGTGTTCTGACCTTAAAGCACGTTTCCACAGGAATATAGAGTAGTGGGAGTGATCTTCTCTGAAGAGAAACGGGGATAGAGAGTCGGGGGGAATGCCTCTTTTCCAAATGTGATCTCACAAAAATGGTAAGAAAAAAAAATTCCAAAAAACAAAAAAAACAGGCAGGCTACTTTTACTCAACATGTAAGCATTTTGAGTTAGGCAAATTATTTCAATTCCTAATTTCACTAAATGTCCACAAGTTTAAAAGGCAACATAAGGACATAAAAAAAAAAAAATAAATAATAATAATCAGGGTGTGCTAGAGATATTATCCTCTTCCGGATGCTTTTTTTTTTATACCTGTCTGGACCTGCCGATGTTCTGATCGTCTCTTATTCTTGGTGCGTTGCCTATTGATTTCATCGACCCCGTCTGATTCATCGATGTGTAGCAGCGCACTGGCTGCACCGTTTCGGTTTTCACAGCCCTCGCTGTCCTCTATACCTTAAAGACACACAAAACATAGTTGTTGTTTTTTTTGCCAAATCAAAAAAGCAAAGGTTATTGTTCTTAATACGCCATTTAGATTTCAAGCTAACTGGATCCAGCAAACTCACCATGGTTTCCTTGATTGTGGTGCGAATCCCCGACAGACATGTAAACCATCTTCTCTCTGAGAGTTTGGCCCGTAGATTCTGTTAGTGCAACGCTCTCTGCATCTCCATCACTGATGTCAACCGATTCTCCTGTAAAGGGAAATATTTTCATTATAAGTTATAATATTTAGATTTTTAAGAAAACACCAACAAGGAAAAAAAAAAGAAAAAAGCTTGACTCATACCCATGTCGTCCTCTCCTGAATCAGCCTTGAAGATGTACACTTTAATCACCTCTTGTCCGTCTTCATCCTTCTCCACCTCCTGATCCTCCACAGCTCCTTCCACAGTTACCTCTGTTCCATCCTCAGACACCATTTTCCCAGCTTCATCCACTAGTTACATAATGAATACAAAATAGATGAATGAATATCAAACTTTAAAAATAGTGAACCATTTATTTTATTCCTTCCCATCAAAGGTCCAAAAAATGTGAAATATATAGCTCAATATGATAACCTTATTTTTTTGTTTAATGTTTGATTTTAACTGATTTGTTAATTAGTAAAAAAATAAAAGAAACTACACTGGGAGTAATCGGATCTGAACATCAAAGAAGGCTGAAACACTATAACTATTAAATGCAAAGCAGAGAAGTAAACGTACAGGATATCATTAGATAGTCTCCACAGCCATCTTGGTCATCCTCCTGCTGCTCTGGGTCCAGACCATCTTCCGGGATGTCTCCCATGGCAACGCCTTCCTCTTCGCCCTCTAGAGCCATCACACAGGTTTCTACAGCAACATCTTCATCTTCATGCACATACTCAGAAACCACATCTTCAACTGCATCCTGGATGACTAGCTCCTCTGGGGCAAACCTGTGAACTGCCATGCCTTCACCCTCACCTTCTGACACCAACACAGTCTCTTGAAGCTCCACAACAAACTCCTGCCCACCGGCACCACCGTCATCTGGAAGAAGACAACCAGTTAGCAGGAGATCTACTTTAACATCCGGAAAAAAAGACTACAACAAAATAAACAATCATTAAAACATTATTCAAATCAAAAACTGCGAAACAAGCTTGTCCACTGACCCGATCCGTGTATTATTATTTTAGGCTCTTCAGCATGTATTGCAAGCCCGGTGACATCCTCATCCATTGTCCTCGTACTGCATTTGTTACTGAGGAGCTAAAAGCGAAACAAAAGGAGGTTAGATTTTAGCATGACAAAAATGTTTGGCTGAAAAAAACCAAAAACAAATTACCCGACAGTATCAGAAATTCTTTAAAAAAAATTTCACAACATCCTTTTTGAATACAAATGATTTATTCAAGCAGTACTGAATCCAATTTCCCCGGTTTAACAGGAGTTGTTCTGATTTGAAATGTCTACTGGCATGATGTTTTCACTTGCTAAAGCATTTGCGCATCAGGCAGAGCTCTGCTTAGACGCTGCAATGCCAAAAGTCGGTCCTTAAAGGAAGCCGTCCTGCAGGTTTTAGAGGTTTCGCTGCTTCAGCACAGCTGATTTCATTGATGGCTGATCAACAGGCTTTCGTTGAACTGCAATCATCAGAATCAGCTGTGCTAAAGCAGGGAAACCTTTAAAACCTGCAGGAGAGCGGCCCCCGAGGACTGACTTTGGGCCTGCATGCTCTATGGGGTCAGGGCCCCCTTGAATATAACAATAGGAAAACCCTGGTAATATTTCACAAAAATTATATGAGCTATCATGATCGTTATCCCCCAGAGGAGATATTATGAAGCAAGATTAGTGTTTCATTGAAGTAACGCATTTTGCATTTAAAGGGCTTGATTTAAAAAAAACGACAAAAAAAAAATCAACTAAAGTTTTAAAATCCACTAGAGATGTTTTGTGTTTTATTTCAAAGACTAAATATGCTGAAAAGAAGATAGAAACATATTGGTGAAATAAGTTTTGACATGGCAAAAGTTTACCTCACTTTTTCTTTCTTTACATCGCAGGTTTTAAAGAGGAGGTACCATAGCCTATACAAGCTGTTATGATAAAGTAATATTCAAATGGTTGAAAATGTGTAATTGAGATTTTCTACTCTTTTGACATATTAAAGGTTTCTTAAAAATTTGGATGACATCTGGATGGAAACATGGCTAATGATTGTCAACATATGGAAGATGATTCACTCCTGAATTTGTCTGTTTCTAAAAAAATGTACTCTGTCAACTATTGGGAAATTGTTCATCTGTCGGACAAGTATGTTTCTACATAAGGCCCCACACCAGATAAAAATACCACCGTGCAACCGACTGTCGTCAAAAAAATAAAACAACTCTACCAAATCCACTGATATGAATAAGGTAAATCTCTACCCCTTTTCTTTTTGCTTTTTAACGTCTATATGGATGAGAACTGAATGCATTGTAGTAAAAAAACAAAACAAAAGCAGACTTTAGTTTTGCTGCTTACATGCAATAAATGTCAAAAAAGGATTTAAGATTTTTATATTAAGAAAACCTTTCACTGCCATTTCTAACAGTATATGATATTTTAGCAACAGATTACATTCACACACCTGGTGTTGCATGTATTGGAATGCAACCTATAAAAAAGTTGTAAAACCTAAAATCATGGGTAAATTCAAAATTCTATTTTTTAATCATGCTCAGTAAATTGAGTTTTGTATTATTTCTCAGCTCAACAAAAAGACAAAAAAGAACGGCCGTTTCTAAAGATTACCAAGCTGTTACACCGTCTGGACACGATCAGATTTAGGAGATCCAGGCACTAATGGGCAGAAAAAAAGCTACCCCGTCCTAAATACTATTATTGGAAAACAGCCCATGAGAGAAAACCAAATATTGCATCAGAGTTCTTTGTGATTTTAATATAAAAGGAAAAGGAAATTGCTGAAAAGCAAATGAAAACCCTAATCAATGATAAATATTACAGCATAAAATCTTCAGAAAAATTAAACAAAATTAGACATAAAACATGAGAGCTAAGCTGGTACATAAAGGATAAGTGGCAACACCTGGAAAGAGTCTGTAACTGAGCAGTTAATCGCTTTAAAACACAAGAGGCCTGATCTGTAGAAAGTTTGATCATCTTAAAAGGGTAGAAACACATTGGCTCACACAAAGCAGATCTTCAGATGCAGGTCAAAATCATTTGGGTTTGCGATTCAGCAAATGGGTGCAACCCTTTTTGTGGCTTCATCTATATGGAAAATCCAATTTGGAAAATCACCAGGAAAGTCAGGTGCAAACTGACACGCAAAAATATCTGTGGTCAATGTTGCCACAAAGAAGGCATTGGTGCATTGACAGGATGGAGAGTTGAGTTGTGATCATGTAAACATATTTGGACTGTCAGAAATAACAGCAGCACAATAAAATGACAGCAGACAATATTTAGACTATTTGACAAAAACAAAACAAAAAAGATTTTCACATAAAAAGAAAATGAAATATAATTATTTTCATTTTATTCTAATACTTTTGTTCATAACACTTACAGATAGCCTACTTGTATAAAGTGCTCTATAAATATTTAGTATTATAATATTTTTTTGTCATGATCTCCATCTGCACCGCTAAGAATTTAAATTTCTCAACTGCCTGTATTCACTCAATCTGATCATTGTAATCGTCCAGAACCAAACTGATTTGCTCCTCCTAATATTTGCATAGCAACTTATTCGTACTGAAGATAAAACTCATGTATTGCTCATGTTGCTTTCCAATATATTTTTATATATATTTGAACTTTGTTTCATTGCAACTAACCATCGTTGTTTAAGAAAAAACAGTTAACTACTAAAGTTTTAAGAGAACAAACATTGGTGATCTTGATTTCTATTTATCAAGCCAAACTTTATATTTAATATAGTATTTTTTTAAACGATTTTGAAAAAAGGCTGTAAACTTGACACTAGCATTGCTAAGAGTAAAGAAATTCCAATAAACAGAAAAAGTGGCTTTAATACAGACATGTCTCATTTGCAAAGGTGAGATCCTGAACTAAACAAAACGATCACTTCATTTCCTAAAGTAAATTTGACTAAGATGACCCTTAAACCCAGAAGTGTAATAATATTATTCACTGGGGAGAATATAAGATTAAACAAATTTACAGAGTCACAATAAAAAAATAATAATAGAAAGCACAGAGATGTAAACAACAACAAAAAAAAGGTGAAGCTGAGGTGCCAATTTCCTCTGAATGTACCATCCCCCACCTCTAGGTGGGCAGAAAAGATGACAACGCTATGAGGATGATAACAACAGGACATCACTCTGATTTTCAAATACATAAACATCTATTAAATCTATTACACGACCCATTAGGTTCACTTTCTTGGTCTTGTATACGAGTCTAAGTCAACACAAAGCCATCTGAGATCAACCATGTCCAGCTGACCGCTAGGGCAACACCAAGCTGATTTCAAATGCAAATTCCGATTGTCAAAAAACAAATTTCTGATTTATAAAAGGTTGATTGCAATAACACAAAAGTATAATATAAGCAACGAACAGAAGTCAGACCAAGTGCTTTGTTTGCAATTGTATTCATGCAGAGATATACAGCTAGCTAGCTAGCGGAGTGCTAAACACCTTTTCCAAGACCACCGATCACACAAGCGTCCGCCATTTTGTTAGCCTTCTGCTTGACAGAAAGCTAACTTTAACGTTAATTAAATTGCTCTTTAACGTAGAGGCCGTATTAAATAAAACCACATTTGGGTCAATGTAACTCCATTGCGACTCAGTTAGTTAACGTTCAACAACAAAAAAATAGAAAGCGGTGAGAAAGACACGGTTAACTTTCGGTTTAATGGCTAACTAGCGTCCCTGCTAACAACATAGGCCTCCTTTATCAATCACGGCCTCAATTAGGCCCGGGCCTGAAAAGAAAAGGCCCACCCCCAAGCGGCCTCGCTGTTACATCCAATCATTTAATAAGAAAACGAAATGGAAACAAGTACAAACAGCCATATACGCAATCCGGTAAAGACACAGCCGCGATAAGAGGCGCCCCGGGAGCACAAAAAAGCTGCGTACCAGATTTATGCTGCAGGGATGGCCTCTATCCGGTCCCCGGCTTCCCAGGCCGCCTGGTTCCCCCAGACTCGGGCAGGATTCAGTCGGGAATTTAGTGTGATTTGGGCGGGCCGGGAACGAGCAGAGAAGGAGGGGTGAGGGGGTTGTTTCTGGAACACCGCTGAAAAGCGAAGCAGGACGTCTGGAGCCAGACAGTGTCCTGCTACAGCCCCCCGCTTCTCCAGCTCCGAGGCCGCCGTCAGCACGACACGTCACAGCCCGAGAGCGGCAGGAAAATGCGGAAGAGTTGAGGTGGAAATCACCCGAAAGCTACCAAAAAGGCCACGATGAGAGGATGTCTGTTTGCTGGATTGTGGCAAAACTTCAGCGTGGTCTTTCTTTAGTACAAACTCAAAAGCTTGTGCAGCTTGAGTAAAACTATTCTACATTAAGCAAAAAGTAGTGGGAGGCCCAAAGACAACTAAAACCATTAGTTTTACAAAAAAATTTAAATACTATTAAGCTACATTTTTTTCAAACAGCACCCTGTCTAGTAATACACCTCGAGCTTTCTTCACATTTAAACCTCTCTCAGCCAAAAACTTCATTAAATCTTACTGGTATTATATTAATAGACCAAACAAAAAGAAAACATAAATATATAAAAAAAAAATGAAAGTTAAATTTAAAAAAAATATATCTGAATAGATTGTTAGAAGCAACTGTTGCTGTAAGAACTTTACTTTGTTATAGTTTAAGAATATTCAGATTTGATAGATCAAGTTTGCAGCACATTTTTTAGTCTGGACTGAAATTCTCAATTAGATTTAGATCTGGACTTTGACTAGGCCATTCTAATTCATGAAATATACCTCAAACTACCGTAAACTGATGGCTCTTTTTTTTTTCTCCACCCTAATAATAATAAAGATTTCCAAGGAGTATAAACTTGACAAGCATTTTATAACTGCATCACAACATTTTCAGCACTGACATATATATCTTTGTCAAAGCTTGAGATCGACAGATACAATTATTTTTTTTTAAGTTGATACCCGTTATGTGATATGTCTGATTCCTGATATGTGCTGTAAATTTGGAGCGCTCAGTTCTTTTGGCTTATATTTTTTTTCTTCCTCCATTTACATGATAGAAATGACACAATGATAACAAACATTAGACAAAGTCTCAATTTGAACAAAGCAATACATTATGAAAATATCAAAGAAGCATTGTTAACAATGGATAGCAAATTGATGATGCAGCAGTGCATGCACCTTTTATGTGATCATAGAGCATGGCTGCTGAATGCACAAATGAACTGGGAAATGCATGCACACATCAGAGATGTTAATATAAGAAGAAAAATATTGCCTGGTACATACACTTTATTATCCCCGCAAAGGAGATCGTGTTTTTAGGAGAATTTGTCTTTCTGTATAAAGGATAACTTGAAAAGTTATGAACCGATTTTTGACATTGTTACCAGAGCTGCACCTCAGTCCAAGGAACAATCGATTAAATTTTGGATCCCCATCAGGATCCAGGAATTTTTGGAAAGATTCTGTTAATATAGGTTTTAACTTAAGGTGGAAGTCATTATATTTCAAGAGAAATTACCTACATGGCTGAGTTCTTTTCTAGTTTACATTAAAAAACAACATACTGATTGTTTGATCGTCAATTACTAACTTTAGTGAAACAAGATGAAAGCAATGTACTTCTGAGGCAGACACCCTGTCTACTTTTAAGGGTAGGCTTAAAACTTTCCTTTTTGATAGAGCTTATAGATAGAGTGGCTCAGGTTATCATGAACTATCTCTATAGTTATGATGCTATAGGCTTAGACTGCTGGAGGACATAGGGACCCCTATTTCATCCTTCTGCTTCATTCTATCTATATAGGCTCTATGCACAGCTCCACTACTTCCTGAATTTAATGCAGCTCCTTTGTTTCCTGTCTTTCATGATTGGATGCACTGATTAATCCAGGTGTGTATTACCTAAGTAACTGGCCAGACACACCTGGATTAATCAGTTCGTCCAGTAATGAAAGACAGGAAACAAAGGAGCTGCATTAAATTCAGGAAGTAGTGGAGCTGTGCATAGAGCTCATTCTCCCTCTCTGCAGAATTAGTTAGTTCAATCTCTAACACTATGCTCTCTCTGCTTTCTCATAGTAGCTTCATATGGTCTGTTCCTGTATGGCTGTGACACCATCCTGGAGAGAAATATCAGCTGTGCTGCTGCCATCAACACCTTTGTTTATACTGTAGATGCTCAAGTTCGGCCTGTTCTTCAGTGTAGTCCTGTTTCTCTGACTGTAACTGACTGGATGTGCTCTCTTTGTCCTCTGACGTGGGAGGTGGCTCAAAGCTCGTCTGCCTGGCTGTGTGTTTCCTGGACGGGCCGCCAGTGGAGCTGGTTGACAGTTGGCTTCTGTATCTTTGCTTCTTTCTGTATGTCTGCTTCTATCTTCTTGAACCCCAGTGAGCCTCAGCAGATGGCTGCTCACACTGAGCTTGGTTCTGCTGGAGGTTTCCCTGTGTTATAAGGGGGATTTTACTCCACTACAAGCATGCTTGTAGAGACAGTGGAGTCAATGAGTCGATGCAATTTACTGATTGTCCTCAGATGGAAAACTTTGAAACAATTTGACTGAATGATCTAGTTGAATAGCAAAGTGTCTTAAGATGACATGTTGTGAATTGGCACCATATCAATAAACTGCATTAAATTGCTGTGTGTGCTGTTGGAACCTGTAATAATAACAGTTTCTGGCCCCAGTTCAAACTATATTTTATATTTATAGTAGCCAGATTCTAATTTCAGCAAGTAATATTTTTGTAGCTATAACTGGAAACTACGAAATGATGACCTGCTTGTACAAAGAGAACACACCTGAAGAATTGTGGTACAAGAATAGGTGACAATGAAGTAGACAGGTGGGATAATGTCATCCCCAGAAAGCCTGTAGAAAGACCTTACTATGAAATGCATGTTCTCATTTCAGCGGGATTGGAAGAACCAGTGGTTGTTTTAATGTGAAAGAGGGAAACATTTCTTACCACATTTTTGGTCTAAAGAGAAAATATTGCTGAATCCGGGAAATATGTGAGGGTCCTTTTAAAGTATGTGCCCTCATTCTGTAACAAATCCCATCACCATTATACATTACTTAATCGCTCTTGGTAGGCTTGTTAAACTGTCTTATTGAAAGATGGATTAATAACTTTAAAAAGTCCTCAGATCTTGATTAAACTCGAATGATGTGTAATATATTTTGAGGACTTCATATTACACATCATTACCACTCACTGTTGTTCTAATTAATATAGACCCACAGACATTTATGCAATATAACACATTAGTTTTTTTTGTACAATTCTCTTCCTAGACAATTCCTTCCTTTTTTCCAGTAACGAACCAATCAAAATGCAGTATTTTTTCACAATTCTAGGGTTGAAATAAATTGCATTGCTTCCTGCAGAAATCAGCAAGCAGAGATCATCAACTCACCACTAACTGCAAAGGCATCAAAGCAATAGAAAACTAGTTAAAGGCACAGCTTTTGGTTTCCCTTTTTCATGCCGCCCTGAACAACTACCCCTAGACCTAAATCATAAACCACCAGAGCCGATGATTGTAAGGGACTGCTGTAGAGTAAACAACAAAACCTTGTCGCTGAGTGATAATCTAGAAAAATTTGTTGTTGAACCAATCTGACTAAATTATCTGATTTAATTGTTTCTGTAAACTGCTTTAATATGACATGTGTTGTTAATTGGCACTATACATATAAACTGAATAAAAATTTATATTTATTGGAGTAACATAACCACATTTCCATGCTGAAGAATATGCTTAAATTATGATTTTGCTTTAAATCAATGCTTGTTAAGCTACAAAACATGGAGACAGTTTGTACCAACTGACATTTGATCTGTACAAAATGTCCTGAAGTGAATAACTTTTTCTGACTTAGAGAGGTGGTGAATTAAATGACCAGTAAAATCTATATAATAAAATGCACCAGTTCCCAAATCAATCAATCAATGAATCTATCTATCGATCTATCTTGAATTCTCTGCTGATTGATACAGAATTGAAGTAAAAAAAAAAATATATTCTTACCAACTTAATGAATCATGTTATTTTCAAAATCTAACCTTTAAATGTATAAATGTATTATTCTTGCTTTTAAATTTTTGTTCTGCAGAAAGAGTTGAATCACATGAGTTATGTCTAATTTATATCTAATTTATAACAGTAATACATGTTTTTCCTACAATAGCATATCATGCATTTCGATATCTACATTACATTAAACATTTTCAAAATATCCCATTGAGCATCATAGTTTACAAAATCACTCTAAGCATGTATTATTTGTTAAGCACCATATAAATCAACCATGAATTATTTTTATTTTACTTATTTGGTACATGAAATACAACTTGGATAACATGGAGGATATTAGACTAAAAAACAGTTTTCATTAAGAAGCAGTCCATTAATACAAGTTATCTGCTTAATATATGGTGTGAATGAGGTTACTGTTGCAGAATAAGGTAATTATGAATTATATACACATATTACAGCATAGTTATAGTATTGATCTGAGCATTTCATTTTGCAGTCATCTTCAGCAGATCCTCCTTTTGGATCTCAAAGAGACGCCAGCCCTCCTGCGAGGACAGATCAGCTGCACCCTTTCTCTTGTAGAACTCAATAGACTGCTTGTTATTTTCTGCTACAATGAAATGCATACTGCTACAGCGGGTCTTTACAGCAATCTGGAGGAAAGAGATTTAGAAAAATGGATATTAAAAAACATATATCAAGCATCTAACACACCTAAAATCAACGTAAATATGTGACTGGTATTAGACACAAGCTGTAAGTGTATATAAAGTGTCTGCACCTCACTCAGCACCTTCAGGATTTGTGAACCAATGCCAAGACCTGGTGAAACATTAAACAGGCAGAGCAATTACAACAGCTTTTGCCAATGTTGCAACACATCTGTAAATTATTACACTTTAGCACCACAGCTGAACTGCTCAACAACTTTACCTCGAAACTCCTGCATGACATAAAAGTCCTCCAAATAAAGAAGCTTTCCGATCCATGGATCATATGTGAAGTAATACATTGCAAAGCCAATTACAGAAAACCTTTGATAAAAGAAACTAGAAGTTACAGACTTTATTATAAAGATATCTCTTTCAGAATAAGTGAAGAAAGGTGTTTACCCTGTGAGCAGTGATCTCTGGGGACCTCTGCAACCAAGCAGTGGTAAAATGGATGTTCTCCAAATCCATCCTCAAGAAGATCTAAATAAAAGAAAGACATTAAAAGACATTATATATGTCTTATTCTATTTGCAAGAATAGGTTATCGCCTGTTTTGATAATCAGTGAGCTAGTTCACAGCACCTTTCTCAGTGAGCACCACCTTCTCCTCCATCTCTTCAAATTTAGCAAGTTCCTGTAATGGATGAAGACATGCCCTGAATTGAATTTGAAGCAGTGGTAACAAGGAGCGGATAAAGCAGATGAAGTGTTTTACCTTTATGAGACGCAATATATCGGATACATCCTTCGGTTGGGCAGGCCTTAATACAAAGTTGGCCATTTTCTCTTTTTTCCTTTCTTCCCTTTGCTTACTAGTCCTCTAAATGTGAACAAGAGCAAAATTTGTTTCTTCATTCTCTCCTAAGGAGTTCCCCCCCCGGCAAAGAAATAGGAAAACTAGCACATAAGGTTTTGCATGAGCTGCTCTCAGTCTAACAGGATCTGCAGAAACATCTCTTTTATATATCCCTTAAAGACACGCCTGATTGTAAAGCCACTGTGACGCATATCCTATTTCTCTCTGACTGAACTACTTATTTTACCTTTAATCAACATTATTCGTTTGAATGTCGATCAAAAGAGCTCTAAAATCAAGAGAAATACTATAGTGAGCACAAAAAACCCAGATCTGAATTGACAGTGTTTTATTCCTGTCATTATTAGTTCAATTAAGTTAAGATGTTGTTTAATAAGTAGTTTATGGTAAATAGGTGCAAATATTGTACATTAAGATAAAGTAAAATTATGTTTTTTTTTTTTGTTTTTTTTTAACATATGTGTGAATTGCATAACTTAAAAGGGTTTCAGCAGGTAGTAACTGGAAAATGATTTATTTCCTCTCAAGAAAGTTGGGCAGTAGTGCAAGGTCAGTTATTTCCCTTGTTTACTGCTTCCAGACAATTCAAAGTACACTTGTACTCTAAAGGGAGTATTTTATCCACTAAAGAATATTACTTTCTTCATTGTTCAGCAGGTAAATCTTCAATATCTGGTTTATCTGCGTCTAGCCAGTGGATGATCTCTGGGAGTGTATTTTTTATTATTGCTGGCAGACATTAGGCATCTCCCTCTTGACTGAAAACATGCAGGTAGGAGTCTCATTTAAGTGGACACTGTTCTCAGTGTGTATGTCATTGAGGAAATTAAAGTAATGGTCTTCATCAAAGGTTGGGTTTTATGCAGTAATGTACATCATGCTCAATATGTTTTTAAAATAACATATTAAAAAAAGGTTTTAAATTATTATTTTTTTTTTTTTTACCTTTCATTGCTTTATAACTCCTTTAGTGTTGCTGGGTAAGATTATGTTATCTAAACCGTTTCGTTTCCAGAGAAGAATTAATTAGCGGTTTGTGGGGTAATGACCCAGGAAAAGGTGATGATCGAGCTAAGTGGGAGGAGTTTTCATATTTGGTGAAGGTCCCAGGAAGCCTGACTGAACAATCTGAGTGTGTTTCATCTTTTAACTAATAAAAACAAAGGAACTGTGAGGAAACATCGTCAGGATTGGCTAATAAATAAGGAATTCATACTCTGAAGTAGCAGACAAAAATAGGAGACACAGTAAATGATATAAGAATGTTATAAAAACAAAAAACAAACAAAAAAAACCCCTGAATGTTAGAACTGTAACTATACAGTCATGCTTACATTACTGTTTTTCATCACAATTTTTTTTAATCGCTGCTGCTTACCTAATCAAGTCTGCACTTTACAAAATGAAATAGTCTAGAATTTCTTAATGAAATTTCTTTGTTTACACTTGTGTATACGAAATAAAATCTGTCTAAATTTCTCTCCAAGTCTAAATGAGAGTTTGGGCAGTGGTTAATGCTCATAAGAAATTATAAAAACAATCAAATCTATCCATCTTCTGGTTATCTGGGGTAGCAGCCTTAGTAGGGAGCCCCAGACTTCCCTCTCTCCAGCCAGTTGGGCCACTTTCTCAGGGGGAATCCGAAGGTGTTCCAAGGCCAGCTGAGAAACATAGTCACTCCAGCATGTCATGGGTCTTCCTCAGGGTCTCCTTCCGGTGGGACGTGCCTGAACACCTCACCAGGGAGGGGTCCAGGAAAAAAACAAAACACACATAAAGACAAAACCATAAAATAGTGTGGATAGCTCACCTATTGCTTCATTCCCTAAACCCTATTGGCCAAAAAGATGCGTACTCAGGCTTTATAAGGCATTTCTTAACTGGTACAATAATGCCTAAACTGTTAACCTTGTTATCAACAGGAAGGTTCTGGAGGAGGATGTGGATATGACAATTCAAGGGTAAATTATTCTGGGCCTCAGAAAATAAGGTTTAAATGCACCCCCCCCAAAACAAAAAAATAATAATAACACCTAGAAAAAAAAGATATTTACATCAAAACACACACACACACACACACACACACACAAAAAAACCTTACTCATGCTGTAAAGGATTTATCACAATAAATTAAAATGACAGCATTTGAGTGACATCTGTAGTCTGTCTGGTGTCAATACAGCAGGAAATTGAAAAGATATACAAGTTTTGAGTGAAAAATAGCCAGGTGGACAGTGATGACGTAGTGTTGTAGAAAAACTGCAAATGATTGTGGATTCAGCGTTTTGCTGGCTTTCAGCAGCTATTCAGCTTTCTGCTCTTTTTTTAATGGAATTAAGGCCCATGGAAACAGTTTGTTACTGCATGTTGGCTCTCAGTATGCTTTTTTATTTTTTTACATGTTGTTTGAGCTGTGGTTACTGAATATAAGAGGAGTAGTTACTTTTGTAAAGGAGTCTCAGATTAAGATCTGGACAAATGATGAGTATATGTGAATCTCAGAGTTATCCAGCTATGTGTGGCTAAATAGGGATAGCCCCCGTTGTACCCTCATACATTTTCATTGTTAAAGGAAGAACAAGACAAAAAACATATTAGGAAAAAAACTTTATTTCGACCTGGCTGGAATTCACAAATTTTGAGGGAAGCAGAAAAGTCGTTTAGTTCAGTTTGTCAAAATATTTCAGCTTTCCTGAAGGGTCTGGAATGATCTGTGGAGGAAGAATTGATCTTATAAGCGATTTTGAGTATTTCTGGTCATCAGTTTATGTCAAGGTAAAAAAAACAACAACACGTGAATCTTTACAACAAACTAAGGGAAAAATCAGGTTTTCTATATTTTGATGTTTTTTTTTTTTTAGTTAAAACAGAAATACATCTTAGTTCTACTTACAGTGTCACTGCCTGGCTTCCATCCTGCTGGACACACTGCAGGGATAAATAAACAACAGAAATATTAAGTTCATTAAAGCAGAAATACCCCAAATTAAGCGGCTTATTTGAAAACTGATCTTATTTTAGGAAGAAAATATACTGTGGGAGGAAACCTTCCTGTACCTTCTCCATGTTTGTCTGTGTACTGGAAGGCCTGCACCAGCCGCAGCGTCTCATCCACTGATCGGCCCACAGGCAGATCGTTCATGGTGATCTGCCTCAGGATGCCTTTGTCATCGATGATAAAAAGACCTCTGATAGAGACATGGTAGATTAGGGTCAGAGTCAGCAAACCAACAAACACTTTAGTCCTTTTTTCCTACTAAAAAGGATTTACTAATATAAAAAGTTTAGTCAAAAGAATCACCTTAAATAAAACAAACCTTGAAAGAAATGTCATACATTTTTTCCTGATTAGAACATTAATCTTTGCTTGAAAAAGAAACAATTTTCCATTTGAAAATAATGGTTTTGCAGCATAAATTCTTTTTCGAGCAAGAATTATGTGGCTGGGACTGCTTGTCAATACAGTCAAATCCATTCAGACAGAAAAACAGGCAAAAATAATAAAAGTAAAAAAAATCCACACTACTTAACATACTTTCAAGTTTATTTTTAACAGAATAAGAAAAAAAGTAAAGAGCTATTGTGCTTCCACGCCTTTGTCTGGTTTCTGGTAGTTTGTTTGTTTCACTATTCCTGCATTACATAACAGCTTTATCTTAACCTCTGATGATCATAAATCTATTTTTCACCTCAGTGTGTGTCCCTGGTCCTCCAAATAGACGCCATAATCTTTTGAAATCTGGTGAGTGAGGTCAGACAGCAGCGGGATTTTCATGGATCCCAATCCACCCTGCTTCCTGGGGGTGTTGATCCTGTTGAGGACAGAATAGGTCAGCAAAAACACAATCGGTTGTAGATTCTTTAAACTGAGGACCATGTCATATGAAGGAGCCATATAAGTATTTAGATTATGTATTTTATAGAGTGTGCAGGTCTAATGAAAGGGGTTTTAATACCAAGCTAAATGGGTGAACTGGGAGTCCACGGAGCAGGCCACCACCTCAGTATTTATGGCTTGAAACTCGTGCACACGATCACTGAATGCAATGATCTCAGTGGGGCAGACGAATGTGCTGAAAGAGAAAACAAACATGTTTACATATATTTACATGCTTGCAGTCTATGAAAGAAACAATGATATTACACAACATTCTGCTTAAATCAGACGTACAAGTCCAAAGGGTAGAAGAAGAAAACAAGATATTTCCCCTTGTAGTCAGACAGCTTCAGCTCTTTGAACTCCCCGTTGATGACAGCGGTTCCTTCCCAGTTCGGTGCAGGCTTTGAAACTGCAGCAGAGAAAAACAACACCACACAGACAAATGAAACAAATTATTTCCTTTAAAATATTTCCTACTTGTAGAACCTAGTTGTGTAAGAGACTTTTGTATTTCAGAGAAAGATGAGAACGTGAAGAAATGAGAAAAAACATTAAGTGTTTAAGCTGTAACCTGACCTGACATGATAAAAGATAGGAAGGACATCCGAGGGAGTGTAACCTTTCAGATTTCTGATGGCCTAGACATTTTTCAATCAGGCTGTCAGCTTCCATACTGTTACAATTTTCCAAAGTTTACTTTCTAATAGGGTTGTCACAATACTAAACTTTTCAACTCGATACTGATACTAAGGAAAATATTCGATACTCGATACCATTTTCGATACCACAAGGATAAAAACAAAGACTCCAAAATTCTACAGAAATATTTTCATTAATAAATAAAATACAATAAAAAAATGCAATAAAGGTTGTATGCTGTGCACAATATTAAGCAAGCTTGTTAAAAAACTTATAAAATGAAAATTAAGTGTTCCTTCCTTGGCTATGCTTTGCACACATAACAATAACACTAGCCAAAACGGTTAAGAAACAAAAATAATTCTCAGCAGCTGAACCTCTTACCAAAAAAAAGTCTGAAACTGAAAAGTGCACAGAATTATTCAATCACACAGTGTTCTGAAAGTGCATTGTCCTCTATTCTGCAGTTTAGATGAACGACTGCTTAGGTGCCACTGGTGGTGGCACTGTATCGCTACTTTTAAAAACAAGTATTGTATCCGGATACAACTTTTTTGAGTATCTATACTTTTGACAACCCTACTTTTTAAACAATGTTTTACAAATTAAAGGACAGA